GGGGGGGGGGGGGGGGGGGGGGGGGGGGGGGGGGGGGGGGCAGGCTGCTTTATGGGGTCACGGTCTTGTGGTTAATGTAGGCAAGTGGTAGAAATGCCCTCTAGGTATAGATTGGCCTGTGGATGGAAGAGGAGAAATCCCTAACTGAGTGTTTCTTAGAGGAATGTGTGGCTGCATTTCAGGTTAATTACCGTGGATGTATTTTTCCATCTAAAAAAAGTCAAAGCTTTTCATGCTTTTCATACTTGCTAATAAGAGTGACAGAGCGAGAAACATGACAAATGATATGCAGTGACAACCAAAACACAGTCAGGTCTGTAAAAATGAAATATTTTAATCGGTGGCTTGATGATTCATCTTTTTGCAATCATAAGAAACAAACCCAGAATGATGCATACAGAAGGAGCCAGAGACAGACTGCACACCAATCCAAAAGAACAAGTCTCTATCACACAGTTTTCAACACCTCTTTTAAAAAAAATAAAATAACAAAAGGGATGACGTTAGCGACACATGGGCTGCTTCATTGTCACAAAGCAAACGCTGTTAAGACATCAGATATACATAGTGATGAGACATAACATGTTTGAGTATAGCTTTACGGCATTAATTCCTGGAAGAATTTCTGTGAAAGGATTTTGTCTTTCACACACTGTTCAGGTGACGGGGAGTCATTTTTTGAGGACCGCTTCAAGTGTGATGGTCGCTTGAAACTGAAACGCCGAAAATAAAAACATCACTCTGAAGGTAGAGAATCAGTTTTGTATTCTCTCTTTAACCACTAATGCAGAGTCAGATATTGGTTTGGAGCCAAATACGCAAGTCTGACTTTAAGAAAAAAGGAGGTTTGTGGGCAAAATGCCCGGAGCTGCAGTGTTTTCAAGTCATTGGTTTCATTAAAAAAAAAAAAAACAATGACGGGGAAGTTAATATGAAACAAAAAAAAAAAAAAAAAGAGGGAGATCTCTCTTCCCATATCCATTTGCGTTACTTTGAAGGCTACACAAAAAGCAGCATATTGACACTGGATGCATCCCAATAGCTTTCATCATCCCCCCCTTGTTCCTCTCCTTCCCTTCATGAATCATCCCTGATTTGAAAGGCGCTGATCAAAAGGAGAGACGCTGAGGATGCAGGGTGATTAGTTGAAATTTAACAAGGAGGGTGGTGGGCGGCTAAATTGCTGGCGTCTTCTTCCTTCAGACGTAAAAATCTATTGTTAACAGCAGGGTGCAACATATTATTGATCCTTTTCCAAAGGAAGCTTGCATCCTCCCATTGCCTCCCTGGATGACACCAAACTACATTCATTTGAATTGAATCGTGCTGGACGCATCTTCTCCCCACTTTTACATTCTCTTTCTCCAGCTTCGTCTTCTTGACATTCCATTTTATTGCTCTGATTTTTTTGGGGTTGGATAACATTTCATTGAGTATGAATTCAGTATTAAATTTGCAAATGAAATCTGAATCCTTTTTGAGTCCCTTATTGAACCTTCTTCAGTTTAGAGTCTGAATGAAAACTCTGTTATCACCTTTCGTTAGCCGAGGTGACAGAAATGTGTTACAAAGCGCCGCTAAAATGAGATTACTACGATAACAAACGAAGTGTTGTTTAAATGCATCTGGCACATTGAAATAACAAGTGATGCTTTTCTTTTTTTTTTACTTTACAACCCACGTTTAGCAAGCAACTTGCTCAGAATGCTGGAAGTCCTGATACAGAACTATTAAAAGGATAATTTTGAAATATTTTCATGGAAATGTTGAAATGAACGTGATGCAATCATAACAGATTCTCGAGAGAAGAATAACCACTTTGTTGGTTTTGTTGAACTACAACCCACACGTTCTATTCTTTTCTCCCACAAACCATCTTTGGTTGAGTACAGACAAAGTTTAATTTTTGCCATTATCGAATTAATGTTTCTTGGATTCATCTTGTATAATCTATAATCTGAGAACTCAGTACTCTGTACGTTACTTAATAAATAATTCAGAGTGTGTTTCCTACATAGATCTAAAGTCAGATTGTGAGTTTTATCCTGTAGCAGGTTTGCGTCTCCAAAGTGATTTTTATTTTGACTGATAAAATGTTTAGCTGAGATGAAACCAGCATTTAAATGATATTTTCCGCAACCTTCCTCTATAAGTCAGCTGCTCGGGTCATGCCGTCACAATCTATGTGAAGATAAGATTTAAATGTGAATTTTGCCCTTAGCTGACACATGTAGGGCTACAACAAATTCCCGCAGCTGCTGCTGGATGACTAATAAAAAAAATAAAGTTTAGATTCTCCCCTAAGGTTTGCGTAGGGAACGCTGTGTCAGCTTATGACAGAGTAATGTACAGAGTGCTGAGATCACAAATGGGTCTACTTTCCGTTTGTCGTTATAACAAAAGCTCTCTACGTGTGTTCTACAGAGCAGGAGAGACGATACATTCAATAAGAGATGAGGTGAGGATCAGAGCTCAGTGAAGGAGGATATTTTACCAAACGAGAACCTGCCGAATCAAATTCTGTAAAAAAAACAGAAACACAAGCGCTTGACAAATTAAAAATACCAAAGTCAAAATTACTGATTGGGTAAAAAAAAACAAGAAATGGTGCAATTGGTGGAGCCGCCTTGTAACCCTACTTGTAGAATTTGCTGTCATGAGTAAAGACGTGTCACACACGCAGATTTTTTTAAAAGTAGAAATTAGGATTTGGATCATTTCTAGTGATACAGTCCTCATGCGCAACGTCACTGGGAGGAGACAAGAAAAGGGGGGGGAAGGAAAATGTTAAAGGAGAGGTCAGAGGGGAGTATTATTGGCTTGCATCACCGCAACGGTCACACTGCTGTGACATGCAGTTGGAGGGACTTTGTTGCCCCGCCCCTCCACCTCCACCAGCACCACCAGCACCACCACCAAAACAAATGGCAAGATAATTGGTCATGGAACCTGTCATTCACAAAAACTCATCAGGCATCCTCTCTCAGTCAGGCACACTATTTACAAAGGCATACACATACGCCAATCAAAGGCGTACTGTACATACTATATACACACACTCAGCCACAGACACACGAGTAGTCAGAGAAATGTAGAATAATGCAGACATAATTATGTTAACTGTGATCTCAGTACATAGAGGCACTGCTACCTCGCCCCGTGCCTTCTTCAGGGTAATAACCGGTCAAACCAATGAACTGCAGGTCACCGGCGCTGCGTGTGCCCTTTCAGCAGGTGGGAAGGAGTCTTGTTTGAGACCGACGCTTTTACAACGCAGCTCGGAGAAATTTAAAATGCCACCACCAGCACATTAAGGGCTCACTATTGCCAAGGTGACCCAGTAGTTCCACAACTCCCGTCTCAAGCATTTTTCTGAGTTCAGGTTTCCAAAGTGCTCGTCGCTCACACAGCACGGTTCCTGGCAACAACCTGCAGCGGACTCACTCCTCCTCCTCTCCCTGCCTTTGATTCTTTCGCACCTATGTGAGATTTGGATTCTGTAATTGGCTGTCGTTCTCTGCAGGAATGAGACACACAGAAAAAAAATAGAGAGGAAGGAGAGGAGAGAAAATGAAGTCGTTAAGCGACAGGATCTTTGAGAACCTTTAACAGAGAAACAGGCCACGTCCCCCCCCCCCCCAAGATGCAAGGCTTCAGTAATGGCTATGGTCCATTGTACATCAATCATTAGCTTTGACTTATAAAACCAATAAAAATAAAGAAATAAAGGAATCACTTTTCTTTCGGCAGCAATATTGGTCTCAGTGTTATTACAATACACAGAAAGGAAAATACAAATAAAATCATCCTAAAATGAGAATGAGTCATTATTTCATGACCAAAGCGTGTTCATGGGTAAAATGGCAGATTTTCTTTTTTAAGCAGAAAGCTTTATTACACAACTTTTCTTTGCTTCTTTTTTCAGGTTCAGTCTCTCATGTACTGCTTTCTGTGTTCAGCTCAGACATTAGCATAGCTTTTATAGCAGTCCCAGTTCTTTTGAAACTGGAGTATCCAGGAAGTAGACTGGTCCTTTAGCAAGAGTTTTATGGGAATTCACAGACTTAATTTTATTTTCTCATGCTCCATATTAGGCCACAGAGAACGAGGAGGAATACAGGAGAAAGAGGAGGGGGGGGGGGGGGGGGGG